GAGGCAAATGATTGAACCTTCCCCACAGGGAAATGGGAAAGCGGACATAAACAGTTCTGGCACATGGCAAGGCTCCAGTGCTACCATTAACACATAAGGAACAGGTTTGGGGTTACACTAGCATCACACCGTCATGAGCACTGTCACTGAACAGCAGTCCAGTATGACTCTTGAGCTGTCAGACTGCATCATATCTTCAATGATTAATCCACTTATGACATTAATTTCACAGGCACTTACTGAGTACCTACTGTGTGCCAGGAACCATCAAGTTGAGCGAGGAGCAGTTCCTTTAAGGACATGACAGATTTTAGGACAGACAAAAATGTACACACATCCTTGAAATGTGCTTTGACAGAAGAGCTGAATTGTTCAGATTCGGTGATGGCCCAATTAAAATTGCTAATATTTACTGATGCCCTTCCTGTATCTGGCAATTTGTCTAAGACTTCACATGAGGTATCTGGCATGACTGTCACAGCATCCTTGTGAGGATGACATTGTTATTGTCCCCATTTTACAGGCAAGGAAACTAAGGTTGAGAGACAATTTAAAATTCCCCCTGACACTCAGCTAGTAGGTGACAGCCAGTCTGCCGCTGAGTGCTCTCTCTCTATGGGGCAGGGCTGCAAAGAAAGGGAGATGCAGCTGCTGATGCCTTTTCAAGGACAGAACTTGCATTCTATGCAAATTATAGGAAAGGAAGCAAAAGAGATATATTAAAGAAACTGGAGAAAATACATGTCAAAAAGCCCTAAACATATTATGTAGATTTTATGTAATGTATGTGTTTTTAAAATTTGGTCAACATATTTTTACTATAAATTCCTAGAAATTAGCTTCCTATGACTCTGTAATGTGACACTGTGCTTACATTTTGTTTTGTTCAAAGTATATGCTGACTTATTTGCTGCTGAATTAAAAAATAAATTTTAATAAGATAGATTTTAAATTGCACATGTTATGTTTTAAAGAATTGACTTTGTACCCCAAGATGAAGGAGACTTGGAAAAATTTTTTAAAACTTGTTAAAAACAGCCGGCTTATAAGGTAACTGCCTATTTAACAGGAGTGAACAAGAGACTCAGCTTCCCTGCAAACCTGGGCTGCATAAACAGAAATACAGGATTCAGAGCAAAGGAAACATGAGTCTCCCTCTATTCCTTGGTGTGTGGAATGTATTTAGAGCATCGTGTTTAAATCTGGGTACCACATTTTAAGAAAGAACATCATTAGAGTGTGCCCAGAAGAGGAGAATTAGGAGAGTGGAAAGTTAAAGTGATACCATATGAGGACTGGTTAAAGGAACTGGGGATATTGGAGCTGCTGGACTGAATATGGAAAGAGGGGTATGACTGCTGAATTCACATTTTAAAGATCTGAATGTAGAAAAGGAATTGGAATTGGTGTGACTCTTGAAGCCAGACCAGAATCGATGGGTGGACCTTTGATGAAGGCAGATTTCAGGCCGGGGCAGAGACAGGAATGGGACATTTCAGTGGAGGAGTGGACTCCCTGATTCTCCGAGGTCTAAGCACAGGTTTTCAGTACAGATTATAAACTCTAAACTCTTTCCAGTTCTCTTGCTGAAGCCTCTTCTTTCCCTACCTCTCATTCTCCAAGATCAGCACGGGCTCTGGCCAGCATCCAGCTTCTCAGGGATTCTTTCTAAACAGCCAATGGCTCTCAACAGCTTCAGCTCTTACTAGCCAACTATCACCTCCTAACCTGGTACTTTTAGCCACAAACTCTCACATTTTTCCAGTACCAATTATTTTCACTAAAAAAGTAGTACTAAATAATTGTTTCCAATTTTATTTTCTCTACAGTCAATGTGCCATCAAATTCTGCTGCTTCTATCTTTTATTAAGTTAATAAGATTTATACAAATCTCATTTCATATTCAAAATATTTTGGCTGAATTACTGCAGAGAGATGCAATATTTTCATTGCTCAACACTTTTTCATGCATAAATCTCACAGACAGACCTTCCTTCATTTCTGCTTTATATTCCATCATCTTGTCATATTGATCTAACTGAGGATGAACATCTGCACTGTCACAGAATTAACTCAAATATCTGAGCTCATGATTTCCTCTTGGGCTATTTCAACCTTCCAATGTTTGCTCAAAACCAGAAAGTCCATCTCTAACACCACCTTCACTACTACATGTTGAATAGCATCATAGCTTTAAGTAATGTTCCTTCCATATTTCACTGAGGGAACATACAGTTACGGGTCAGATACTTCACAGTCTCTGATTGACAGGCATGTTGCTATTGTTTCCAAAAGTCAGATCTAGTGGCTTTCAAACACAGATGTTTCTCCATGTGACCTTCTGCTTATAATGAGAAAGGTGAAGGCCCCTCCTCCACTTCCTTCCCTTGAAACGGTCTTCCCTTCTCACACCTCCTCTCAGCCAAACCATTCATAGCCACAGGCATGCCAAAGGCTAGTTCTTTCCTATTCCACCTTTTAGACCATTTACATTGACATTTTTATCCATTATCTGAGATCTCTCCACACTTGCATGATTTAATTAAGCCTTTCAAAAGCTGCTTTTTGAATTCCTTCTCTTACTCTCCTTCTCCTTTCTCTTAAAACCTCGTAACTTCTTTTTACTTATTAAGCAGATACTAACATTTCAATATGTCTTTTCCTTTTCATGCTTAAAGTTGGACACCCTCTGCTATAAAATTTCAAGCATTATTCATTGTCTTAAGTCCTTTGGAAAACAAGTTACACTCATAAAACTTGAAAGAAAATTTTTTTTTATTTTACATAAAATGTGCTTTTATTACTTTGTCCTCTATATACAAAACATACATTTTCCCCTGAATTTACAATTGTTGTGCTTGTTGTTGGAACAACTCAATGACAAAAAGAAAAAAGACATACGAATGGCTAACAGGTACCGAAATAGTACTCAACGGCATCAGGGAAATGCAAAATCAAAACCACAATGAGGTATCACCTCACACCTGTTAGAATGACTGTTACCAAAAAGACAAGAGATAGCCGGTGCTGGTGGGTGGGAGCCCTGGGGCACTGCTGGTGAACATAAACCGGTGCAGTCATTACGGAAGACAGTATAAAGGCTTCTCAAAAAAGTAAAAACAGAACTACCAAGGAATCCAGCAAACCCACTTCTGAGTATTTATCCAAAGGAATTAAAATCACTATTTTGTAGAGGTATCTTCCCCCCAGTGTTAACTGTAGCATTATTGACAATAGCCAAGACCTGGAAACAACTTAATTGTCCATCAACAGGTGAAGGTGTAAAGAAATTGTCATATATACATATGTATATACACACTTATATATATACATATATATACATACACACACACACAATGGAATAATATTCAGACATAAAAAAGAAGGGAATCCTGCCATTTGAGAAAACATGGATGAAACCTGACAGCATTATACTAAGTGAAATAGATCTGACAAAGAAAGACAAACGCTGTATGACCCCACTTACACGTGGAATCTAAGAAGAAACAAAACAAAAATGGACTTACAGATACAGAGAACAGATTGGTGTTTGCCAGGAGCTGGGGGTGGGGTGTGGTTCTGGAATAAAGAGATGTTGGTCAAAGCGTAAAAACCTCCAGTTACAGGAGGAAGAGATTGTGGAGACGTGAAGAGCAGCATGGTGATCACAGCTGACAGCACTGTGCTGTATGCCTGACAGTTACTGTGAGAGCAGATCTTGGATGTTCTCACCATAGCAACAACATCACGATCACCAGCAAAACGGTCATTATGTGAGGTAAAGAATGCTAACTAGCCTTATTGAGGTAATCACTTCATAATACATACATGTATCAGATCATCACATTGTACACCTTAAACTTACACAATGGTATGTGTCAATTATATCCCAATAAAGCTGTGGGGGGAGCCTCTTCCGCAATGCCCTTAATGATGGTATGTGAGCTTTGGGGGATGGAAACCAGGTTTTTATTATCTTTATATTCCTAACATTAGTGTAGTGCCTGTCACATTTTAGATGCTAAAAATTGAATTAGTTAATCAAATACCTGCTAAGTATCTCATCAGTTGCATAAACCAGAACACAGCAGAAATGTCAAATATTTTCCAAATTTATGGTGGATTTGCAACTTGCTTTTTACCTGTGGTAATACTGTAAATTTCTTCTTACTCAAGGAGAAAAATAATAAATATTTTCTATGCTAATATTATTACACAAAAGATCTAATTTCATTTGTATATTTTTGGAACCAGAGATCTTTACAAAATAGAAAATTTATTTTTAACTCAATGAATCTTATCCACATTAATCATTCTAAGGCAAAACAACTCTCTGTAGGAGAGTGTATCTCCCTGGATCAGAGGCTGTATTACATAAGCCTTAAGAGATTTAAAAATCAACCTCCAGGTGAAGAAACAGCCTGGGTAATTACTGAGGCTTTTTAAAATCTGATCTACATTTTGGATCTGCATAAACTTCAGTTCAGCTCGCCCCCAACCACCACACGTAAATTCTACTCCTTTTCTAACTCGAGGAGCTACTTGAGTCTATCCTCATCTGTTCCACCCTCACTCATGATATTACATGTTTAAATTGTGTTTTAAGCGTGTAATGTTTTGTATGTTCACTTAAAATTTATCCGTTAACTCCCACTACTTGACAGAGGCACACATTTTCTAATTGACTAGACCATGTCAGAAGGAGAACCCATCCTTCAGTTCTTCTTGACAGCACTTCATCCAGGAGCGTAATCTGGAGTTAGATGGCTCTGCTACATGCGTCTAAAAAGCTCTGCTCTTTGAATTTAACTATGTGTTTACTTGAATGTTGTACGGACTTACTGTTATCATCACCTGGAGAATAAGTATACATGTTTTAATCGTAATAATATCCTCACTGCCTAGCTCAGTAAAATCTGTTGAATAAATAAATGAACCAGACAACTGACTAATCTATGGTCATATTTGTGATTATTTTTCTGTACAAAACTGACTTCCTATGAAACAAATACTGTTTGTTTTTTTCTGTTTGGTTGGTTGGTTGGTTTTTGACTCCATAGTAGATGATAAAAATTGCAAAGAAGGCCAAGTTACATTTCTGTGGACCAATTTTATAAAGAAATCTTACGAAAACGTTTGGAGGTGACCTCACCCCTCCTCTACGCAGCACCCTAGCAGAGCTGAGCCCCTGGGAGGCCAGCAGGTCTGGTCTGGGTTATGAAAACCATGTCCACGCCACGCACCCTCCAATTAGGGTGAGCGACTGAAAGAACTCCGTCTCCCTCCAGGAGTCAGACACAGGTGACAGCCACAGATGGTGCACGAGACAACACGCTACATGGGACATCAGGAAAACGTGTACATGTTAGGGTCTGCACACATCTGTTTGTTTTAGGAAGTAGATTCCCGTGAAGACTTGGCCTAATTAACTGCTGTCCTGCTTAATCCAAGGGAGGCACCCCAAACAGCAACTGTGACTTTAAGCAGCCAAACCAGGAGGTGAGGCTATGGAAATTGCACGCTGCTAGTAATCACTGAAATAGCAACTGTCCTGTGCAGTTATACAAAAATCTGCACAAATACCAGAAGAGCTGCTCCATTCTGTCAGTTCAGGGAGCGTTTCCCAGTAAATCACTGATTTTCTCTCTCTCTCTCTACCCCCCACTCTCTCTCTTTATATATATAGAATAGAAAACTTCTCAGACTGTCTAAAAGTATCACAGATGAACCAGTCTAAGGCCTGCTCTGTCAATATTTAAAATGAAATTGGTAAGAGGTGTCGCTCCACTGAGATGCAAAGAAGCATCTACAGTAACTGTTCTCCTAGACAGACTTACTCGTGGTTTTGCTCTGATGACAGTGGTTCAAAACCTATGGAAACAATGAATGCTTTTCCTGGGTGGAATTCTAGAGACCACTGTATCCATCAGGACCTGACACAGGATAAAGGTGGAACTCAACTGGGATAATGTAGGGAGGCTTTATTTACAAAAGGACAACCGTGGGCAAGGTAAGATGTAAGGATACCATAAAGGGTAGTGCAAAAGCCAGGGGCTAGCTTTTCCCACAACCAACACCCAAAAAGATGAAGGGAAGGAGAAGACAAGAAGGAAAGAAAATTCCAGAGAGGGTCTCCTCTGGAAGACAAAGACCTGTTGATGAGCCAGCTGCTGGAACGAGGCGACATCAGAGGATGGGAACTGAGGGGTGAATATCCTCACCACCGGCTCCCCTCCCTCTCAGCTTCTCCCGAGGCAAGCACCTGCCTAACTCAGATGGTTAAGGAACTCAGTGAGATAAAGCTTGGGGTAGATGTTCCAGGTCTGCCTCCCTCAGCAGAGTGGACAACAGTGGAAAGTGAACCTGGTGGGTCAAAGACATGTATCCGCCATCTTTACTGTAGAGATAAGAACTGGACTCTAGACAGGTTAACAAATCTGTTTGGTAGAGAGACACCCTAGAACCTTAATATAATCATTTCACACAATTATTCTGTCTCCCAGTCTATGCTTACTCCTGACCAACACTGAAAATCCACTGAGCTTTAGACTATTAAGTACATTTAATGTTATTTCTTCACTATTATCTTAGACTGTCTTCACTATTTATTACTGAGGATTTAAACAATTCTTTCTACCAATTCTGTTGCATAACAGAAAATATTCTTATGCTGATGAGAAATCCGTGCATATGAATGCATGCCAATTATTTTGACCAGTCTGAAATTCTAGCCTTAAACTTTTCCAGTAATAGCCACTGCATATGGCAGAAAATATTATCGTCACAATTACATGGATGTGAATGTCTATGTAGAGAACTTAGTCAAAATACAAACTTCATTAGAGGCTCAAAGGTATTGCAGACTTACACGAGTTTTGATTATGTCCTTTGTTCTCTTTATGATTCACAGTTTAAATGCCTTTAATTTTACAACCAATGTTACCAGATCTATGTTATGTGGCTCCTAGTAAAGCAATTAAAAACTACTGCCCCCAAAATTTAAAAAAAACAAAAACCTACTGCCAATGTTTGTGTGCCTTCTTAGGAGTTTTAGGGAATGGAATTCAGAGCTACCTCACTCTGTCTACTGTACTATATATAGTCCATCACTTATCCTAGTAAGTTGGTAAGCAAAATAAAGTATTTCCAAAGTTATTTCTTTAGAAAAAAATTACTGCCAGTCTGAACTCTCTCACAACCTAGTAGCTCACGGATTAAGCAATAAGGCCACTCTTTTCTGAAAACTATATTGTATGTGGTTAAATTACTAATAAGCATGTCCCCTAATCAAATCTTCCTAGGTAATATAATTCTTTTTCATTTTGAGACCTGGTGGCTTCATCTGCTACTATGATTCATGAAATCTTAACTCATATTTATAACCTTATCTCCCAATTAGGTGCGTGTCTGCCAACCAGCTGTTGTCACTAACTATCCCATGCCCGCCTCAATGCCAGTATGTCCATGAGTCTGCCTCTGTTTGTTTAGCATGCCCAGTGTAACTACCATTTAAATATTTGGGTAAATGTTTCAGATGCCATCTTTAGCATTTAAATGTTCCATCCTCCATATTCAGATCTTGCCAATCCTACCTCATTTTTTGGTATTCCTCCATCTCGTCATCACTGCCTTAGCTGATCCTCATTGTTCCTCAGCTGATTACTGCAATGGTCTCCTAATTATTATCTTGGCTTCTAACTTTGCCCTCACCCATCGATTCTCCATATTTGGGCCTGAATGCCAGTTCTTAAAATGCCAACCTGCTCACGATGGTTTCTATTTTCAATCCTTATACTTGGGGCGATCATGATCTAGCCATACCTCTATTCTTCCTTCATTAGTGACTATCGGTTGACTCTTGTAGAAAGAATGCACTTCCCTGAATGTGTTATAATCACTAACTCCCTTCCTGAAATATCCCCCTCCCCTCCTTCATGTGGCAATCCCTACTGAACTTCCACGTTCACTCTAGCCCTCTCCTCGTCCAGGGAGCCTTCCCTGATTGCCCCGTCTGCATCCACTGTTCCTCCCATGTGATTCCACAGTACTTAGAGTACAGTTCCACATGGGAAAAGTTATTACTCAGTTCTGGTCCACTTGTCTATATCACCCTCTATAAGGTGAGCTCCAGAGAACAGGCCTTATCTAGGGGATCACAGCATCTAATTTAGACTGGGA